GTTTTAAATCAACGGCGGTTTGGTTATTGTGGTAATTTGCCGCGCTGGTGTGTGTAAATGCAAATTGCTTTTTTTTTGTATATATAAATACGCTAACGCTAAGTATAGCACGTACAAAGCATCATCCAAGACGATTATGTACATAAATATATTCATCTACGTATCATGAATACATGAAATTGATTAAGTGTATTATATTTGATCAATTTTTGTATTAACAATCCTAAATAGTCTATACTATTTCGTGAGCCAATAACGAAAATTCTTTGAATGCAAAATTGGTAAAATATAATAATTAGAACAAATTTTCATCTTTGTCGAAAGTTGAAATATTTGTAAAAATATTTCATTCGGCTGTTTGGGTGGATTGCCTGAACATTGTTGAAAATACGCTCTATAGTAGCGAAAAAGTAACAAATGCTTGGAAAATTCGTCAGTCCTGTTAGATCCTGGGATTCGGTGGTTAAAACATTCGCCCGGATTGCGAATGGTCGTGGGTTCGTGTCCCATCTCAGAGTGTCAGAGACAAAGTGAATTTTTTAAGCATTTTTCATTAAGAATGTTCGACTAAATTTATCAAATTATATTAATAAGATAACTTGATCTAGGTATAAATATACAAAACTGTAACAGGTCTGAGCTAGATGTTAGTTTTTAAAAATCTTGACGAGTACATTTACGGTAAAGGTAAAAACATAAAAAACAGCAAACATAAAAAATGATATAAAAACACTCCGTTCTAGATTTCCGAAGTAAAAAAAAAAACTTAATTTTATCTATCACATAATATTTTGAAATATATAAACAAATAAAAATATTTTATTAATTTTCAATAATAAACGCGTTGCTGTTGGAAGAATTTGTCACGAAAGAAATGTTCCGAATGGAAGACATTCAGAAATAGCACGACGTGTTTCTAAAAAAATCTAATTCCGACAGGCGAAATTAAAAAAAAAAAAAACCTTATAGATTGGAGACAAAAACTTTGGATGCGAGGATCTAGGACAAAATAAACGATTGTGGTACCGCGCACCGTTACAGAATTAGCTGTTTTTCTGCGCCTTCGCCCGTATATTAAAGCCTATATCACCCGCGTATGAAAGCTTTAAAGAATTGGCTCTGTAAACATTATTGGCTCTGTAAATATTTCTGAAATCAGAAGATTATACTCTACAAACATAGTTAGAAATTTTATCTTATAATTAGTACAATCGGAAATTGCAAAATAATAAAAAAATACAAATGTATTATCAGCAAAACATCTCTTACTAAAACCGAAAAGACAAGACTTTACTCAATAAAACGCACTAGTAACTCTACTCGATAAGAGCTTGAGGATTCCGGTGTCCTACTTAAGACAATATTGTCTATGTCATTACAAAAGTATAAAAGGTTTTTGCTACACGATTTCAGACCTAATTTTCTATCAGTTGATATTCTAAAAGCTTCTTAACAGGATACTGACAGCCCTCTCTAGACTTAAAGTTCAGGGTTGACAACTTTGAACATTTTCGTATATTCAAATTTTGAACGTACATAATATAATTAATTCCTTTTTTATAGAAATTACTAAATCGATCATCAAATTTAAATTATAAATAGTTCAACACCGACCTATTGTGATAATGAAGGTTCGTCTACTGGATAATTAATTAACTAACCTATTATGCTTCTAATGGTCAGTTACAAATTTCAATTAAACCTTTTTTATTTAACCGACTTCAGAAAAAGAAGCTTCTTGGTACACTGTTATTGTGGGATCAATAGAATTTAATTTAAATAGTTTGTAAGTAAAAGTAGTCAACCCTAACGAGATTTGCCCTCAACTGAGCCTGAGGTTCTACTCGACAACGTTAATAGACAGATGTCAATGTTTGAGGGTTCTTTTTAGGTAATTATACTGAGTCTGTTCGTGTTATTCTATTGCAGTAATTTACCACAATAATTCTATTACGAGTACAATTAACGTAATGTTAATAGCCAAAAGAACGTTAAAATTGGTTTATAAAACAAGAAATTATGGCCGAATAAAAGGCCATGTATAAAGATTATATACAGACAAATGTAGAACCTCTTTTTTACTTTTAAATCATTTAATACTCATGTACACTCTCTGACATATATTTTGTCTATGCTATTTATTGGCTAGTCGACGGCCTATAAATATATTGTTTTTAAAATAAACCATTTCACATCTAGTTTGAGACTAAACTAGAACATCCCCCTATTAATCAAACGGTCCGTTGCGCTGGCTGTTTCAATACTGAAATAGACTTCAGTCACTCAGTTGAAGCAGGAAGACATGGATTGATTGAGAAAATTATATTTTGCTTGACTATTTACTTATTTTTTAATCTTTGGCTATTAATGAATCAAGTTAATCTTTTGTTTTATAAATATTTATCTTTAACTATTATTTTTTATTCAAATAAGCTTATCAAGCGCTTTCAATACCCTTTAGCGAGCTCCTTTGCAGAGTGGCTTGGATGGCATAAAAATATAATTACTCTATGCTTGGATGCCAGTTACAAAGATCTTTGTTAGTTCTGGGTGTGATTACCGGTTGGATCGAGCAATATACAATACCTATTATTAAATGCCTATACGTAAGTTATGTTTTCCTGGTACTTTTTAATTTAATCCTCATAAGATTACGGCTTTTTTATATTATTACATGACTATACGTAAGTTATGTTTTCCTGGTACTTTTTAATTTAATCCTCATAAGATCACGCCTTTTTTTTGTACCGAAGGGAACTGAGCTTTAAACATGTCATCGACCTGGTCGAGAGGTCGACTAAATCCGGGCTCACCCTCTGCAAGGGACGGCGGTCCAATGCAGTGGGCCTACCGTGCAAAACCCTCCGTACCACCCTCTCGCCTGGTCCGGTACCTGGTATCTGAGAATAAGTCCCAGATAGTCTTAAGATCACGCCTACCAATTTTATTAAAATGACAAAATTTTAGGGCAATAAAGAGTTTTTATTTATTTATTTACGAGTATTTAGTACAACAACAATTATTACATTCATTTGATTAAATAAACTAACTTAACTTAAATTTGCTGAATGTACAATCATTTACAGGTGAACATCTCATGCAAACACAGAAATAAACATTTACTTAGTATACGGATCCCACAATCTCACTCCATGAAAAACAACTAGTAAATAAAAAACAAGGAAAACAATATACTTAATACACTAAGACGTTGAACAATTATTTAGGCAATAATCGCTTCAATTCAGCTTTAAACTGGATTAGAGACATCGGAGTTTTCGGTTATAATTAATAACTAATTCATTACACACTAGATTTCCGTCAGCGGCTTTGCCCGCGTGGTCCTGTAGTATACACATGTTTACCTTCCTCTTGTATCACTGTATATTAATGAAAACCGCATTCAAATACGGTTCGAAGTTTAAAAGTTATCAGCGTACAGACAGCGAGAAGCAACTTTGTTTTAAACTATTTATAGATATATTGAATATATAGAATTTAATATATTCATTGATTCTAATATTCATTCGCCGATAATAATTTGTAAGTTACTTTAACTCATTAAAAATTGGGAAATTTATAACATGTAGATAAGTAGAGCAAATCAAGGAACAATACATTTCTCTCGGCATTTCAATTTAAGCTTAACATATGTACTCGTAACTTGTAACATCAAACAATAGTATACTAATGAAATAAATAATTAGAGTTAAGACACTAAGATTATACTAAAATGTTTACTCATGATTGATTAATCTATGAATTACCATATTCACACTAATAATTCACTTCGCAATGAAGCAGATTAGAGTGTATAAATCTACATAAATGATGGGGTTTCGCCGAGCGACGCACGAACAAAATGAGCTTATTATTTGTTTGCGTAAAACAGTATTATGTATTTGTGTTCTTGTGCGGAAATCGAAACCATTAAGGTTGGTTTAAATGTTGGATAATTTAATTAAATTATTGGATCTGATTACTTCTCCAGGAACAGAGGCTCAGATTGGTTCGCTTCCAAATTCCAGAGAATACACACAACAGCATATCCGTTTACGACCCTATAACATTAATTAATAGATATTTGGACTTTTCTTGTGATTTTATGTGATTTATACTATACATTATTTACTAATATAAATTATTAATAAAAAACACTTGTGTTGCTTGTGGATACGAGTCTAATCTTGTCCGTTATTTTCAAATTGCACATTAATTAATTACTGTCAATGAGTTGTGTATCGATTGATGAATGAATTATGTTTCTTGTTGTCATTTTCAATATTGTGACTTCATGGGCTAATGTAATTTTTCAATCCGACATCTGAACAAGAAACAAACAGTCCTGCATATTTTACGTGTATCTGTGGCCCCAGCAATGTGTATCAGTGGTCCTAGTTAAGTTTAACTTATTTTGATAAGGATTAAAAGCATGAGTAAAATAAACGCGTTTAAATGTTGCCCAAAAAATTAAAGATTTTGAAATAAAAAAAAGGGTTGTTGTGCCGCACTCGACATAGATAGGTATAGTGTGTTGCGGAATTTTTTGTAGATATTTATAAGATCTACAATTAATTAGAACATTTTATGGTTCTATCTTTTATAGTTTAGACAGCGTACGCAAAATAAGTAACTTTTCTGGTTGATTTTTTCACACCTTGTGTTCGAAAAACCCAAATATCTTACGGAACCCTTTTTTTTTCAAAATAAAATATAGCCTATGTTACTCGTGGATAATGTAGCTTTCGAATGGTGAAGGAATTTTTAAAATCAGTCCAGAAGTTTTTAAGCCTATTCATTACAAACAAACAAAGAAACAAACATATAAATAAAGTTTTCCTCTTTATAATATTAGTGTTCCAACTTCTTATCTATATTAAATCTCTTGGAAATAACCTGGATAATAATAATTTGGACTGATTTCTACTTCTTATTCAAGCACAATATCCTTGAAGAGGAACATTATTATTTGAAGGATTATATTTTCAGAACCAAAATAAATGGATTTATGTAAATTATATTGCTCCAGAAACCGCATCGAGAGAACAGCTTCGATAAGATGGCGTGGCTCTATCCGGCGACTCACCGCTGCCGCCATTTGTAAGTAAAATCTCCTTTCAATTTATGATAGCCTGGTACTATATTTTCGAATTGTTCGCTTTTTCAACAAAACAAATGTTTTCATGCGATGATAAATTTTCACGTTTAAAAAAATAAAATATTTGTGTTATTAATGAAAAATGCTTTAAAAGACCACCAGCCTTTTTAAGCACGAGAGTCCCATCTCGGGGTACCTGGCGCTGGTAATTTTTTAAAGTATTTTTGAAAAAAAAATTATATCAGTATAGCATTGTAAATGCAAAATTAATGTCATATTTTGAGATACTTACGTTTGTTAAATTCAATTTATAGAACAAGTTGATACGTGATTATGTCATTTATTTAAGAGTTTTAGAAATATAATTTTGACGAAATTCTGAAAGTATGTTTGGATGTTCCCTTTCATTCCTCAATAGATAAGCGGGTTAGCTCATGAAATAATTTATATGGAACGAACTGCGAATTGGGCGAACTGAGAATTAGACTAATTGCAAATTGGGCTAACCGTAAATGGGACTAACTACGGATTATACCAATCACAAACTGATCAATTTTCACCACTGGGCTAACTATACATTAGATCAAATATAAGAGGAATTTTAAGTGTTTAACTAGCAATCATTAAATAAAACTTATAACTTAACACTTAAGAAATCCAAGTGATTGAACTTGTTGACAGTTAGTTGTGAACTTCAAAAGTGAAACTATTAAGTAGTAGCCCAAGTTTAGATCTTCTAAGCTTAAGAACTTAATCAACACGATCGTAGAGGTAATCAATGAATTTCACGAAGTATTCGAACAGGTCTCTAAGGACTTTAGTTGTAATAGAATATCTGATTGCTCTTTATAGTGCTTTTAGCAAATGCTAAAAGTATTAATTATGAGGACAAAGATAAACAACATTATATACTGAATATCAGGATCCATACAATGATAATAAAATTCAATGATAGGATAATTATCATTCCACTTATTTTCTGTTTTTGACACTATTCTTTTAACGGAATAGCAAAGCATTTCACTTTTATTTGATATTTCATTAGGTCTGAACGACTGTTTAAAATCAAGATATTTCAACACGCTTCTGTTTTTATAGCAGACGCCCGGATGTTTTTCTTATTAGAATGCAAGAAATTTTATTATGCTCTAAGCGTCTCGAGTCTACATCATGCTATTGATTGGAATGTTGTTCCTGAAGGAACTCACTTCGAGAACTCTTTTATAATTAGAGATGGTATGTGTATATACAAAGTAGCGTCCCGCAGCCTGTACGCTGAGCTTTTTTTAACTATTATGTACACATCGGAGGTTTTATTAATACATAGAGTATTTCTGCTGCTGTTGGCGAAGATTTAGTTATTAAGAAAACTACAGACATATACTTAATCTAGCTCATAAACCCCGCACCGTCACAATTTTTTTAAACCGATAATAGCACATGTTCCGGTCGGTGATTGATTTCCAATAAATTTGTTTTCAGGTTTTCTCGTAATTTGAAGTCTTTGCACACATGAATTATTAATGATTCGTTTTCAGATAACTTATCTTGCTTCACTCACGGATGCAGTACAGGATGGGTTTCGGGAGTGCTTGGCAACGAGGCGCTCACTGGCGGCGCCTGGCTAGCAGCACTGCCATGCTTGGTGGCGCTACCTGCTGCTCCTTTCTTCGCGGTCCTAGCTGATGCTAAAGGAAGAAAAGCGGGTGCCTTCTGTATCTGCATGAGTTTTATTGTAAGTAGTAATCTGAGCATTTTTTTTTTCTTATAATTTCTTATCACCAGTATTTCTAGATGAGACGATTAACTTAGTGAATCCCCTCCAAGAGTATGCTTAGAACGCTAAAGGTCACGTTAAGGACTTAAAAGTTTATAGATGTGCAGTCAAAATATTTTCTCTTTATTATTGTTTAATACTTTTATTTTATTATTTGTTAAATATTATGAAGAATATATTGTATATCGTAAAACTTACATAGTATATTTGGGGCTGTACTCCGAAAGCCAATTTTCTATATATCAACTTCATTGTGTTTTATTCTTAATACAAAATACTTAAAAAATCCTCTTGGTCCGTGACACCCTGAGATGGGATTCGAACCCACCCAATCCGGGCGATTGCTCTAACCACTGAGCTACTCAGGACCTAACAGGACCGACGAATCTTTCAAGCACTTGTTACTTTTCGCTACTACAGAGCGTATTCTTATCAATGTTCACGCATCCACCCAAACAGCCGAAAGAAACATTATTACAAATATTGAAAATTTCGATAAAGATGAGAATTTTTTCTAACTAATATATTTGATTAATTATTTTTTTTTTAATTATTGATTATTTAATCATGTGTTTTGTCCTATTTTATGACATTCAATATACGTTATTCAGAGCAGCACAGCGATTCTGTAAAATCCGAACCCGAAACCGAATTTATCGATGTGTTCAAATTCACGGCATATAGTGTAAAAATTATATTGATTTCATTTTTGTATATGAATACAAAATAAGATTGGTTGATTCATACGTATCTCAGATATTCTATTCCTATGTTATTTCGAAACATACTTCACTTATCCCACCGAACCTTAACACCAATTCAAGGTTGAGCGGATGCCGGTTTTGAAGTGAATTTATATACTCGAGTGAAATCGAATTCGGGTTCGGATTTTCACAGAATCGCAGGGCAGGACAGGCAAAGAAAAAGTCCATGACGAATTTCGATTTAAAAATAACAGGACCGGTTTTATTTGTGAAAGTTATTTGAAAACAAATCCATTATCAATATAAGATTCTTTTGAAACGCCATATGGATAAGTGTTTTTCTATCCATCAGATAAGCTGGTCGCTTGCAGCATGGTGTGGCCCCAAGGGAGTATGGGCAGCAAGAGTGGCTGCCGGCGCTGGTGGTGCGGGGGCTCTAGCTTTAGCTCCCCTTTATTGCGCAGAGATAGCACCAAGAACAAGAGGCCTGGCTGCAATGCCAGCATTAGCTTGCAGGTACAGAGCAAAAAATGTTAACCACACAAATCTAGGTGTTATCAGAGGCACATGAGTTTACGCAACTGTCAAAAGCACTGAAAAAAGACATGTATGCTAGCAAACGCTGACTAATATCCATTAGTTATCTTATCCAAGTGACGAAAGTTTATTTTTTGCCGTTCCTCTTCTGAGCGTCAAAAGGCACGTCGAGCCGGTATTCCCGTCTGTATCTACAGGAGGTAGTATCCACTGTTTTTAGGTAATGCCCCTACCGCAGCAGTTGGAACATCAATAAGTTGGTGATTATGCCTGACAACATTAATGCAGTTTTGATGTTTAATTTTGCTTTTTCTATAATGGTCAATGTTGTCTCAAACAGTCAGAGTTCTTGTATCAGTTCACAAAAATATAACGTTAAGAAATATCTTTTGATTTCGAAGGTACTCGTAATTATGAGGATTAAAGGCGAATCCTGACTCATATGCTTTTTAAATGTTTCAGTTGCGGAATTCTATTTGCGTATGCAGCGGGAGGAATACTCTCTGCCCACGCGTTATCTTTATCCATGGCAATCCCACCGGCAGTACTTCTTGTGTCTTTATTGTGGCTACCAGAAACACCGTCCTTCCTCATTAGCGTTGGAAGAATACAGGTTCGGTTCATTCACAGAACAATTTATATAAATAATTGGTAAAAATAAATGCTCATATTCATAGTTCGAGACTATTTAAATTTGAGTAGTAGGTAACTAAAAATTTTGAGTTGGCTTAAATTACTCTATGTGTTTAGTAAACTATTGGTATCCATCGATACGTAAATGTCAAAATAATTACATTTCAGGACGCAGCAAAGGTCATATGCTGGTTCGATGGTTCTGACTTTAGAGAAGACCTGACTGACGTCATAGAGCAACAAGAAGTCAGGATCAGAACGTCAGATTGCTACGGTAGCAGGAGAGAAGCAATGCGTCGCCAATATTCTGATACATTCCAACCAATGTTGAAGAGGAGTAGTGGATTGGATTCTAATTCCGATAAAAAAACTGAACAATCTGCGTGCAGAGAATTATGTAAGTTTTTTTTTATAAAATATGAATTGACATTAGCACGTTTTATTTAGTATTGCGGATATATTCGGGTAACTGTATACAGTATATTATAATATATATATATTCGGGTGACTTCTCAGATGGATAAATGAAAATCTGCACTCAGTAATCACACTGATTTTGTAATGGTGGCACTTTTTACCTACGTAATTCTATCCATCAGGAAGGACCGTTTTCTAATATCAAGAGATATTGAAACGTTAACAATAACCTTCGTGATATCAAAGACCTACATATAAAACCTGTTGATAGAAGTTCTACTATAACTGGCAGCCCATCCAATTTGTACAGACTGTCAAATTTCTCCATTTGATTTTAAACTTTAATGTTTTGAAGATAGAAATCAAAATCAACTGGAGCAATTTGACATATTGTGTTAAGATGACGTGCAGCCGTGTGTACCTACTATTATGTTATGTAAACCTCTCTAGGTTTATAATAATCTATGATTTAGTAAGTTCATCCTTATTAAAAATCAGACATTGAATGCAGTTTTTAGCTTATTTTGAATGAGTATATAATACATAGTAATATTTCTTTAGTATTTAATGATTTTTTTCTAATTTCAGTTCGCCACAGAAAATCTCGACGAGCTTTATTCTCCTGCTGTATCCTCCTGTGCACAGCAGCTGGTAGCGGCGCCGGCGCCGTGAACAGCTTTGCAGCTGCAGTATTGAGACATTCAGCCCACGCTGTGCCGCATCTGAACTTGACCGCTTACAACTTCACTATTTATAATGGGTATACAGTTCATTTGTCAATGATTTAGATAAATATTACGTTCAACGAATATGTGAACCGCAGGTCCCGGCTAAATTTATAATTATAAATTAAAAACCTGCCTTTAATTGGATACTTGATAGTTAAAACAATAAAAAATTTAAAACCTTACAAATGGTAACTTCTATTATAAACGATAACTTTTTTATTTTAATTATCTTGTGATTTTTACTCGTGACTTGTGGATTACAAAAACCAAAATGTTGGACCTTCGCATGACGTCACATTTCAATAAACCGTATGTCTTTGTTGTGCAATCAGTACAACAAGACAATAGTCATGTTTATAAAAATTGATAAATGAATAAAAAAGCGTTTTCCCCTAATTTAATAACACTTTTAGGAAAAAAAGTAATTTTGATAGTGGTTTAGATGATAGTTTTAAAATACTTTTCGCAAAACAATAAAGTAGCCAAAATTATCATTATTCTGATGAAAGTATGGGAATTGTATTATGAGGAAGAAAGGGACATGAAATCTGAAGATACATAAGCTGTATGCTTATAAATTAAGTGAATATTGAATGAGCAGCTAAATCTAGTTTACTAGGAATGATATGAGTTTGGTCCCCCCCCATACTTTTGAATATGGGAGAACAAGCTAATATATCGTTCCTAAAAAGACTGAAAATGTATGATATGACGATGAAAATGAAGACAAAAATCGTATTTTAACTATGTACGAGTACCTATGTGTATGATGTTTATTATCAAATGAAAAATATCCATAACACACTGTTGATGATGTGGCATTTTAAATTAAAATTACATTCCGAGGCAATCTTATAAATAATATTAATATTTAATCCCAAATTTACCACGGACTTATAAATAGCACCTATATATTTCAAATGTTGTCTTAGGACTGTCCGTCGTACACTATTTGAAACTTCAGAAGCAGGTTCGGTGTTATGCGGAACTGCTTTGGTTCTTGGAGCCGCTGTTGCGACAATCACAGTGGATAAGCTCGGAAGAAAGGTATGTTTACGATATTTAAGTGTCTTTAAATTTTTAGGATATCAAATGAATATTTTCAGTAATAAGTAAAATTTTACGACACACTTATAGATAAGGATAGGATAAGAAAATAAACTAATATATGTTTACCTGGCAATATTTTGTTACATATATTGTAGATTTCAAGAAAAACGACAAATTGATTGCAGTGCTTGAGATAATAGCTTAACATATACGGTTAATGAAAATGAAATTGATTACCTGGGTTGATAGGTGATCTCCAGAGCTATGAAATAAAGAATTTTGTTTCAAAAATACAGAACATTCTATTGTATTAGACCTCTTATTTTGAGGGCATAAAACATAATAACACTTTTCAAACTTCCAGATGTTACTACTGTGGTCTTGTTCAGGCATCGCTTGTTGTCTCGCGATTCTCGGAGTATATTGCGACCCTCGTCTCCGCATGTACTCTTGGTACGCACACCGTTTGTGGCCTTACAGAAGAAGCCAAGACATAAGAGAAAAACATTTGGACCTACCTCAGAATATGACTGACAATTTTAATGTAAATCTCAACAGCAGCTTCATAAAGAACTATGTAAATGAGAGTAGATTGTGGCATCAAGTGGAGGATAATGATAATTTGACTAAAGTTGAGGTTATGTTGATGAAGAATAGTGATCTTCGTGATGATGGTGTGGATGGAATGCTATGGGCACCAGTGATGCTACTCTCTGTGGTGTTGTTCCTATATAATATAGGTTTGGGATCCGTGCCTTATGTGCTGATTTCAGAGATGTTTTCAATCAACGTAAGTCGTTACCTTATTCTATATTTAGGTTATAGTATAAAAGGTCTTGTATAGTACAAAATGTACAAGAGCTTTCTTAAGCCTGATATTTTAGTAGGTAAACGTAGTGAGAGTATACATCACTCACTACCCAATGCAGAGGTCAAGTGCTGGAACACATGGTGGCGTAAAGTACAAAAAACGTAACACATATTATAAGTGCAAAATTAGCAAAATACTTATTCTTAATATAAAAAGTAATCTGAAATGCTCAGACTGCACAATCGTGAAACATGGTGACTCAACAGATCTCAGAATTTGGTGTGAAAATGAGAGAAAAGAGTTTCATAATAGTTGAAAGTTAATCTATTACTAAATTATTTGTTGTTAGTTCATAATTAATACTCTGATTTTATCATTTAATGGATCAAAAATATTCAGCAATCGCTATTAGTTTGTTTCGCGCCGTCGCCACCGGGTGTTCCAGTGCCTGATCTCAGCATTGGATACTGAGTGATACCCTTAGTACCCTCAGTACTTCAACGCCTTAAAAAGTTCTTTAACATTTTTATCACGAGCTCTCCGTCTATCATCAAAATCTTTACGAGAAATAAGAAAGATGACATTAACACCTAATTAACATAACCATGGGATATAAATAATTCTAGTTATCTGAACTCATATAATTATGTCGTTTGAAAGTATGAACACACACTTGTTTTAGGTCAGAAGTCTTGCATCAAGTTTTTTTATCTCGTGGATGTGGCTCAGCAACTTTTTCTTACTGCGCTACTACGGCACTATCGCCATCTCTCTCGGTCTCCACGGCACTTACTACATCAGCGCTTGCATCACTCTACTCGGGTCGTTGTATATTCTTCTACTAATACCAGAAACAAAAGGTAAACAGTTTCATTAAAATAGCAACAATTACGAGGCGATAAATTGAAAGAAGTTCATGATATTATTTGGCAATGTACACATAATCAATAGAATTATGTCCCAAGATTTCATTTCAATCAATGCAGAGCTTTCGTAAAAGTTAACGTAAAACCTCCTTTTGTCGACTATATCTACCTAACTTAGGTATGATGAATTCTATGTTTTGTTTTTTTTTTGCTATCAGAACAGCATAAAATGAATAGGGTATATTTATTTACTAATTCTATATATTTACAGGTAAAAGCCAAGAGCAAATAGACGAAGCTCTAGAAGGGCCATTACTAGTGCTGAAAAGACGAAAGACCAGACGATGACAATTCTTTATGGTTCCAAATATCTCGAAATTCTAGTCGATAGGTTAACTCCATTTTGGCGCCTAAAGGTATTCGTGACGAATCTACAATAGGTTGTTATCCAAAAAATCCGTATACCACAGATTATTATTAAATTTTTCGCGATTTAGATGCGTGATTTTTGTGATCTAGGAGTGTTCTCAACGATTTACAATGTTGCTCGTTAGAAAAACCAGTCACAGTGTCAAAAGTTGAATGGAAGTCTTATTCTATTGAAACATTTACCAATGATATTATGTCGTGACTATTTAGTTTCTATATCCGAACATCGTATAATATCGGTCACGAAAAAATAATATAATAATTCCCGTTTTAATTACTGCTCATTATAAAAATTGCAAATCTTTGAATTTACTTATGTATTATTGTACTGTGAATGTCATAAATGTTTTGGCAAACACTCTCGATTTTTTTTAAAAAAAGGAAAGATAATCATTTCTATTTCAGCGACAGAATTGCTGGAAAACGCCCATAGATTTATAGTGAAGTCCCGGAAGGGTCAAGGGACCTGTTATGAAAACATGGAAAATGTATGCTCATTATTTATGTACCTTATTAAAAGTCTAACGAGAACTTACTATTGTATTCTCCTAATCCTCTAGAAATATTAGCTCAGCCTATATACAAAAATGAAAATATGATTTAAAAAATCGTTTCATTTTTAATCTAGAAACTGTATGTGATATAAATACTCTTTGAAATCGTTATGTGCCGTACAATATTTAATCGTAATAATATTTTTATAAAATACACTCATATTTTCACGGATAAATAAAGTTGTGATCAGCAGCACTAATTTTAAAAATAAAGAAAACACATTTATTAATTCAATAAGTTGAAATGTTTGTAGATAGTTGTATAAATGAATACCATATTCTTAGAGCAGTGATTTATTTCAACAGCGAAACAATCAAAATCAATATATCAAATTATTTTGTGTGATGCCCTAAATATTATACATATCTAATTATTTATATTTAATAACATCATAGATTATTAAATATTAGATTTTAATGGAAAAACCGAGTATCGAAATATTAAAAACAATAGTAAATAAAATTACAGAAAAATATTTTAAGAGTGTGTTACCTAAAGTTGATACATATAAAATTAGGATTTCCCAAATTATGTCTACAATGTATTTGTTATTTTTCTTCCTTGTTTATTGACTGATCAATTATAAAAGGAATTGACGTAAATTAATCAATTATGCACCAAATATTATTGTATATTTATTAGTACATAATTATAAAATTTATGTAATTTATTCAAATATAAATATATAAGTATAAAGAGGTGTGACTTGTTGTTGTAATTCACAAATACTCATTTGAAGTTAGTAAATCTAAGTCACAGTTAATATCACACCAAATTTAGAAAAACAAACAAAAAAGTTTTTAATGCGTTTAACGATTTTCAATCTCCCCCATCTACTAGCAATGCAAATCTTGAAATATGTTGGCAGTCAAGCTGATATGATCGATTTATTGATTTCAGCAAAGCATTTGGTCGTATCGATCACAAATAATCATGCTATAAAAACTGTCAAAGGCTGAAACTTCTGGAATTTTTTTCCTATAGATTTCCCAACAATATGAAAAATCGCTCACAAGTTGTAGGGAACCGATAAATTCATCTGTAGTTGAATATTGGCACCTTCCAGAATACCACAAGACACTTCGCTTGGGCCTTTTCTATTTAATATTTGCATTAGGATTAATTGTTGATTAATAATTACATAATTCTAATATTATACAAATATTAAGGACGATTTTGTTATTAAATAACGTTTGAGGGTTATACAATATATATTATCATTACTAAGATTTAAAGTGTTTGTGAATTACAATATAACTATATCATTTAACTGTCTAGTTCTAATTGGGCTACTGCCAAAAGAAGATGTGTTCTATTAAATAAGTAATTGCATGTATAAATGCGGCATGCTAATCGTGAAAAAATATTTTATGTGGTATTTCAAAATCGAGATTGGACCTAGAATAGTAAATATTCTAGTCCAGCCCTGCGATTCTGTAAAAATCCGGACCCGAATTCGAATTCACTCATGTGTCCGAATTCACGTCATTTAGTGTAAAAATTCTATTGATTCCATTTTTTTTTGTATAAAAATACAAAACAAAATTGATTGAATACACGTGTCTCAGATATTCTATTCGTATATCATTTCGAAACTCACTTCACTTATGCTTCGAAACGTTATTACCAATTCAAGGTTGAGCGTATGCCTCTTTTTGAAGTCAATTCGGACACCTGAGAGAATTCGAATTCGGGTTTGGAGTTTTACAGAATCGCAGGGCTGGACTCAATAATTTGTAAATTGAGGAAATTCATGATTAGTTAAAATATGTGTACACATACATTGTCAAATCTTCGGATTTTATAACACTGAAAGCTCGGATGTCACATTGATTCACGGTTTACGGTTTTCTTAATTTTAATTTCATTAAATAGATTTTTGTTATATATTCATAAAATATATATCCTTTTTTCTGTCTTTTTCTTGTAGTGTGTACAACATTAATTGGTTAAATTGATTTTAAGCAAATCATTAATTATAAGAGAATTTTACCTATATTCGTCTAAAAACTTGTTACCCACATATTTATCGTCCGGAATATGTGCTTTCAATGTTGATGAAATCTTAAAATCATTAGTAAATATGGAAATGAATCGCACACTTTAGATGAGTATGATTGATATTGTGTAGTTAATAAATTGTGATCAGCCAAATTTTAACATAGGTACACTGTTTGTATGTGATGTTTTGTATGAATGAAATAAAAGCTTTAAATGTGAGTTGTTCATTTTAATTATTTGTAAAGTTGTTTTTACAATATTATCATTCAATCAGTTCCAGCGGCACTACCACTTAATGGTCCGAACATCGTGATTAAGATTTCAAACCTCAAAAGTTGTTTGATTAATCTGTACCAATTAGGATTCGGTCTCGGATAGGAGAGAGTAATACTGATCTGTCAGCGAATATTTGATAGCTGAAACACGATGTTTGGAATCTTTCGGAAGCAACAGATATATGGCTATTGGTGCTGTGCTTAAACACAGATGAACAACTGTAAAACTATGGCATTTATAGTCAGAGAGCCAACTCTGTCCACGAATGTTTTGTATTATTTCGAAAAGTTGTAGGAACAAGATTATCTGTGCAGCAGAGTGTTGTGATTTGTTAATAATTGAAATTTAATTTAAAAGATTTTCTTTAAATATGTATTTTTATTAGATGTTACTTCGTACTTATCTTTTTATTGAACCGTCAATCTACCTGTACTTAGAATAGACTTGTAAAATTTTAAAATGCAATTATAAAATATCCTTTTTAATTACATAAATTAATTTATTTATAGTACGGTGCTATTAACAGAGAATGTCATTAAATATGTTGGTTTATTTATCAAAAATAAAAGAATAACATTTGTCCGGAAACAGCTGTTGTGTTGGCTTAGTAAAAAAACTGGTTTTACTAGTCTTCCTGTTAGGTAGTTGCTAGTCTTAAGGGCATTATTGTTGGAGACATGGTGGTGTGAAAACGTGTATCCGGAGCAGTGTGAGAGTGTGGATGTATCAAGCAGTTTAATTTCACGAGGTAATGTTAGGACCTAAATTATCAAAAAAATACGCTTATCATTTATTCAACACTTTTACATCATTTTTCAATTAGCGCTTCAAAAGTAGACAAAATTTTGCTATCGGAGAAACAAAGCCTTCTGTTCCATGGGTAGGCATAAAAAACGGATAATGACCCATAGTAATATGTGAGAATTGGAAGTAAACGATACCTATCGTTCTCAACGAAAATCTGTATTGTTTCCGTGAAGAACTCTGTTTGGGTACGAGATGCCATACTGTTGCTGACTCCATTACGCATACACAACGCTGATGACACAGTTATGAATGTGAGGGTCTAATGAAATCTATACGTACATCTATCCGTTGCTAATCATAGAATTCTGTGTCGTTTCGAGAAATAAATACTGTGTCTGTGTAGGTCGCTGACCCCATCTCGTACAATCACAACGGTATTACATCCTTTCACTATTTTATTGATAGATACCGCAAGATAACGTCTGTTTCTAGTAAAAATACAGTGACTAGTTAATAATAGAATCAGTTAAAAAACCAACATAATCATTTGCAAAAACTTTATTAATACTTATTAAAAATAAATACTTGTAACCACAAATTTATCACATTTGAACTATGACAATAAACCTCCTTACGACATAGCTTAGAAATTCGTACTTGGACCCTAAAACAAGCTTAAAGAAATACATAATTGGCTTTCCGTATAACTTTTTGCTAGACTATTTAACCAAATTTACATTTAATGTGTTCAACTTAAGACTCAATTTTGATAAACAAAGATATATTATAACATGTGATGCGCAGTGTAATTAAAAAACAAGTATAAATACGACACGCACGTTGTATCTTGGGTTCTAAGGTCTTAATAATATACACATTATATTTTTACATAAAAAATATATCAAATCAAAAATAAACAGATCTTCCAAAAAACGACACTTGAAAACCTTTCAAAGTCGAGATTGCACTGTTGAAAACTTTTACACATATTTTGACATTAAAATTTTATGCTAATTAATTCTATCCTTATGGATAATTTTGTCTTGGCAAACCTTACGATGTTACACCATTTTCGCATCAAAAATAAACGTTCATGTTGATATTTATTGACTTTTCAAACCTATTGGTTTGAATAACAGTGGTATGATTTGTATTTTTTTTTTTAATATTTTACTAATTTTATTAATTCGTTCCATGTAAGAACCAAACTTTGTTTATGCAAATTAATGAAGTTTATTTTTACTTCATGAATGTGTAAAGGTCTACTCGTAAACCAATTTATGTTAGCTTATGGAAAAGTCAACAAACTCATATCTTATCTGGTCTCGTTTTACGTTACAAGAAGTATTATATCAATCGTCGATAAACAAACAATATGTTTTGGTTTCAATATAATTATCTATATAAAGTACCAGGACACCAGTATTAATAATCAATTTCAACTAATTTTAAGACTTAAATACCTATATTGACTAAATTCATAACATTTTCACATATTCTTATTCTTATTAATATTCTTTACATCACAGCCTTATAACCCCTCGAAGAATTTCATCGTACAGCTTCTGAGTCAATGGAATATATTCTCCAGATTTCTGATCCAAAAAATACATAGGATCATTATGGAGGTTCAATGTGAAACCTTGTTCCATCAGCTCCTTCTTTTTCAACTTGAAAGTAACTGTCAGCGGTGGTGCTGGCATTATTCTTAGGAAAAGCGGCCTAGCATAAGTAGGTAATGATTTTAAACCTTGAGCTAACTGCTTAAGGTCTATTTTTTTCTCTGGATCTGATATAGCTGCCATTCCAGCTTTACCTTCTACGTTTGGTATCTGTAGAAAGATCGTATTGACAATTGAAATTAATATGAAATTGTTACATATACGAATACATTTAATAAGGAAATGCTATAAAATTATATTTTCCGTGTAAAAAGGCAAAATATGATTTGTCAAAGCAAGACTTTGACTGTGCATGTGCAAACTAGTGAGGTAAAAATGTCTTACCTTAACTCCATATACAACAGCATCTTTCAGACCAACTAGTGTACTAATAACACCTTCCACTTCTGCTGTGGATACATTCTCCCCGCGCCACCTGTTTAAATTATTATTATCAATGCTATTTACTACATTAGTAATTTTATTTAAAAATATAATGGGAGATATATTATTATCAACATATAGGATCTAAGCAATCAAGGAATTACCAGAGAGAAAGAGGAACTTGTAAACAAATTATTGCAAATTAACATGGGATAAAACCCGCCTTCGGGAAAAACGGCCTTTTAAGTTTGTTGTTTTTCACGCAGACGGGTTTTTGTTTTATTTTAGTTCAAATTTTATTTATGTTTTTTTTTACTTAGATAAATTACCAAGTTGGTTCAGAAAGTGAAACAACAAAGTCCATGTTTTTAAATTTTATTATTATATTGTTTTTATTAGTATTACGGTAATAGTATACGCGATATTACTTTTTGGAGCCCTATAATGTGATACCCAAAATTGAAACAAACAAAAATATCATTAAATATAATGGCGTCGCACAGCCGCCATATTTGATTTATTTAATGTAACCTATCTAAAAACACTTGGGTAACTAAGACAATTCTAACGATATCTCAATTATCTAAATCTATTCAGCGGTTCTGAGGACATGAAGTTATAAAGACTATTACGTACATACAAGATACGCGCGAAAAACATAACCCTTCCTTTGCAGTCGGATAAAAAGATCCCGAGAAAAAAGTATTGATTAGATAATTCAAACATCGACGACAATGGTGAAATATAATCTATATGATTAACTAGTCGATATTTTTAACTTGCTGAGGTCAATGCTAATTGATACAGAACAAAATAATGAAAGAGTAGCAAACAAAAAAAAAAACAATACTCTCACCTGAAAGTGTCACCAGTCCTATCTTTAAAATAGAAATAGCCGAAATGGTCCATAACTAATATGTCGCCAGTGTTGAAATAGCAATCACCTTCTGTTTTCACATTGCGTACCATCTTCTTTTCTGATGCTGTCTTGTCCGCATATCCGGCGAAAGTTAGGATAGCCTTCTTTTTATCTATTTTTCCCAATAGGACACCTGTAAACAAATGAAACAAAAAACCCTAAAATTAAAGATTGAACATTGTCCTTATAATCACCGGTATAACATGTTATTCTGCTAAGACTATGTTCAAGTATATCACAAGTGTGTAAACTGATGAATAATTAACTTGAATTTTATCATAGACTAGCTTTTGCCCGCGACTTCTTCCGAGTGGTAAAGTTACTTTGAGCAACATTTCTAACGAATATTTATTCATTATTACGTGTAAAATACCCGAAATAAAGTTTCATCCCCTATTTTACCCACTTAGCGGTGGAATTTATCAAAATCATTTCTTAAGGGATGCCTACGTCATAGTAGCTTTATGCATGCAAAGTCTCATCCCGATCGGTTTAAAATTGACGAAGTTTCATACAAACTGTCATCCCTTATGGTCCCTACCACCCTGAGATGGGACTCGAACCCACGACCTTTCGCAATCCAGGCGACTGCTCTAACCACTGAGCTACCCAGGACCTAACAGGACTGACGAATCTTTCAAGCACTTGTAACTTTTCGCTACTACCGAGCGTATTCTCATCAATGTTCAGGCATCCACCCATACAGCCGAAAGAAATATTGTACAAATATTGAAACTTTCGATAAAGATGAGAATTTTGTTCTAATTATTATATTTTGATTAATTTCGAATTCAGAATTCTATACCGAAATACATTCTTAATACATCTCAGGGTGCCAGAGACCAAAAGGATTTTTTAAGCGTTTTGTATTAAGAACGGTCTTCTGATCTCAATATTTCATGCTTTTTAGTGATACTGATATTTTTTATATAATAAAGCAACTTTTGATTTTTACACAATGACTCGGATATAATAACATTGACTAATTGAATAGTAAATTAGCGTTACTTTAGTACCGTTTTCATTCGTTCCACACTTCCAATCCCATTTTCATCCCTTTATTTGCTGTTTTTGGGATTAAATATGACCTATGTTCACTGCATATGTAGCTTTCCGTAGGTGAAAGAGTTTTTAAAATCGATCCAGTAGCTTCCGAACCTATAAGTGGTAAACAAACAACCGAATCTTACCTCTTTATTATATTAGTAAAGATATAGATTTATAAAAATAAAAATATTCAACATACTTAAAGTATTAGAATAGAAGATTTTTTTTTATTTGCTTGACATCATTTTTTCCAATTATTCTACACTCATATTTTTAAGGGGAAAGATTTGATTGTGCGTTTGTTTGAAACAGATAGTTTGATAGAAATTGGAATACAAGAAGAAGGCAATTGATATACATACTTTCATAAGAAATGTACATGTTCCTTGAACATAGAAAATCCTCCTTTGGGACTTTGAATGAATTCCAAAAATGATATATGAAATACAATACATCATCTAAATAATATTTAGGTGACATATCATGAAAAGCGTATTTTGTTTTGTATAAAAGAAAAACTACTGATTAGGTTTTCAATTTCGATAAAATTTAAATGGAACCTTGGTGGTCTATTAAGCTATCGAATAAAATAATAATTTTTAAAAATCGTTCAACAATTTGCGGTGTAAATATCAGTGAACATACATTAGAAAACTTACATCGCCGTCGAATATATAACCTCCTTTTAGATTTTTAAGTTGATTCAAAACACATTTTTACTTTTCATAAATTATTCTCTACTACCAACTATGTTAGAAGGAATTTTTGAATTTACCTGGTTCGTGTGGACCACAACTTATACATCTGCCGTTGCTGTCTCTTACGATTTCACCCGTTATTTCGTCACACCTGAAAAAATCATAAAGTAATTTATTTTGCCCCTTTGTTTAAAATAATTATGATGCAAACTTGATAACGTACTTGACTAATGTTAGCGGATATATTGAAGACACCATCCGACTCAAAAATCCAATGGCACCCACTTTGGAATCCAAATTGACTGTACATGTAAATATAATAAAAATATTATTTTTTATAACATCGAATTACATAGATTTTATGTATTATTACCATATACATTTCAGATATATGTAATAAATAAAATAAAAAAAAACCTTCAACGCAAAAAAGGGGTGCTATAAGTTTGACGTGTCTGTGTGTGTGTCTGTCTGTCTGCCTGTGGCATCATAGCTCCCCAATTGATGAAACGATTTCAATTTAGTTTATTTTCTTGTATTTAAGGTGACTTATGTGCAAGTGTTCTTAGATATATTTGATGAAAATTGGTTGAGCCGTTTAAAAGTTGTGGGGGCTGAAATTGGGAAAGGATAACCGATTGTCTCCAAGTACACTCTAGTGGGGTCTCAAATGAAAGCACACTGAAAGATAATATTTATGACTTAATCAAGAGTATTCTTAGCTTCGGTTGGTGAAAAAATTATTATATCAAAGAGTTGAAGACCAATATAAACAATAAGTAACAATTACTAGCTATAGAAACAAAAACTTCATTTGTTATTTTTTTTACTTTTTAAAGCCTTTAAAGAATCTATCTGTCAATAGTGTATCCTAAGTTTAAAATTCATTTTCGGTCCATATTACTTCCAATGACTGATTTAATTGGTCCACTGGATTTTAAAGCAAATAATTGTGACAGATGGATGATCAAGGAGACCCTGACGATTTACAAAAACAATTATAATTCTTCAGCTTCATACCAAGATTGCTATTCCCCTCGGTGGCTCCGTAGAATTCGAGCACTCTTTTTATTCCAAATCTTTGGACGAACTCCTCCCAAATCTGCGGTCTTAGTCCATTTCCTACTATAACCCTGACTTTATGGGCTCTGTCATCAGGCCCAGCTGGTACGGATAATAGATACCGGCATATTTCTCCAATGTATTGTGTTACCTGCGTAGAAAAACTTTAGATTTAAAGAAAAGTACCCTTAAAATCTCCAGGAACTTTTATTGAATAAGTTGATGTTTTTATTAGTTTGATAAAAGTGCAAGATTATGCTAGTTAGTTTTACAAGCAGGTCAAATCAAGTCAAGTTTATTTTAGTCTATTATTCAAATAGACTTCTTAAAAGTTCTTTTGAATCCTCCAACATTTTTTCCCTACCACTCGTTCAGGACGTCTTTTGGCTGATAAGAAGAACGAGCAAGAAACTCGCCAGCTCTAATAAGAGTAATAACATTGACAAAAACCATGTCATTACCATCAAAACATTATAAATAGAGAGAAAAAAATCAATGATCTTTTAATGATAACATAATAATTTAATAATAATGGAAACAAGATATTTTTTTTATATAAACCTAATGAGTTTAGAAGAAATCGCACACAAAGACCCCTGAATGAGTTATTAACTTTTTCAGTCTAGTGACAGGCGCCGTTAATTTATTTTTATTTCTAGTATTAAAATTGTGTAACTGTAACTTTATATAACAAACTAATATTTTCGCTGCTGATATATATGTTATATATTTTTAAAGAATATATTTCGTCTCATGAATTTTCGACTAGCTATCTCACACATTGCTACAATAAACGTCGGCATGATGATAGTTCATATATTTACAAGGTGACCCTGAGGAGTGCAATTTCGAAATCTGCGTTGTACATTTCTATTTATAGTTTATTATTCTATTTTTTATTTAATTAGGAAACAAAGGACATATTGAAAAGAATCAAATAAATAAATACTATGTAAGTATATTATATATGTAGATAACACAACCACAAGCACAGTACACACACCATACACAATACACACACACACACAAACTCACACACGAGTGCGCAGTAGCTTTTTCTCTTCCTTGTTATTAGTTTAGTTATTAAGAAACTTATAAAAAATGATTGCCAAGGTGTTGGTTCTTGTTAACATTAAAATATTTACTTGCCACAAAGTTGAAGCGAAATAGTCCCAATTCAAGTATTTCATATTACTCACTGGGTCAATTTCAAAATTGTAACTGATAGATACAATTTTGAAATTGACCCAGTCTTTTTTTTCGCCTGTTTGAAGAACAGATATACCTACAGCATTATATATTTTAACAGAAAATACTAACCGTACAGCCGTATTTAGCTGCGTCACTCCAGTAATTCCTAGCAGAGAATTTCTTACGTAGGATTACGGTACAGCCCAATACCAACGCCTGACCAGCACCTAGCACTCCACCAGCCGTGTGATGGAGGGGTAGGGGGTCGTATATAACGTCAGAGGTATTCAACTGAGCCGATGTGAAAACCCCGAGAGGAATCAACAGGAACCTGGTGAGGGGAAATGTAAAATTTTAAATTGAAATAGATGAAACACTGAATATTAACTACTTGACTAATTAATTTACTTTTTCAATTTGAGCAAGTTAATGTGATATAATAAAGAATTTTACCATAGATACTTTAATTTATGAATGGCGATGATAAATGTTTTCCTGTGACTTTGGCCGCGCAAATAAGGATGATGACTAATTTTTGTATGTATGTCCGTCAGGTAGATTACCCATGCATTTTTACGTAATCATTTAATTACGGCGATACGTCAAGTTGAATCTTTGTGTGGCAATACACCTTTCTGTAGTTGTGACGTAACGAGCCCAACTTCAACGAAACTCAACTTTAATACCTATTATTTAAGCCATTACTTGTATTTTTCTTTCATCTGACTGAAGGACTAAATAAAATTTATTTTGTTTTTCCCGGCATCATCACTATTATACCGTTAATTCCGCATATGATGGAGCTTCCTAGGTGAAAGAATTTTAAAATCGTGCCATAGAATATAGTCAATGTAAACAGACAATCATTTTTTTCTTCTTTATAATATTAATTAACATAAAATATAATATGTGAAAGTCCATAGCGCAGTGGCTAGCGCGGTCGGTCTGCGATACGTTTGTAAAGCAACTTTCGCGATGGCCTGCCATAGGATGGAAGGACCAAAAATTTATTACCTCGAGCTCCTCCGTGCTTCGAAAGGCTCATTAAACTGTGGCTCCCGGTTGTTGCATTTGCAGTCGTTAATACCGGCCAATTAAAGGGGGATGCTTGAGCCCCAGCAATGGGGACGTGGATAGGCTGGTGATGATGATGATAGACCTTAATATGCTTACCTTATATTTGTAATAATCGCAGCTTTAGGGAAACCGGTCGTACCACTTGTGTATATATAGAGTAAAGTATCACGAGGTTTTGCCGGTTCTGCGTCTACGAAGCGTTCGGTGCTCATTTCATTGAGTTCTGTGGCAAGAGGCACGGTGTCTTCTAACACAGGTGATCCTGGTTTCTCCGGGGAGTTGTATTGGAAGAGAGGCATATCCACAATCTCGTGCTGGATTTCTTTTATGGCTGATGAAAGAAGGTAAGAATAAAGAGGAATGATGATAAATTTTTGGCTGTCTGTGTTGTGATTTATTTTTAATTTTTTGTGTTATCAATTAATTAGAACGATATATTGAGTTGAAATTTCATATAACTTCCTACATAGTTGTCATATAGCGAGCCCCCACTCCTCAGCTTAAATGCCTGTTATCTAAGCAATTTCTTGTTAAATTAAAGAAAAGGAAATACGTATCTAATATTTTTCTAATAGACTAAATACAATATTTTTTGCGAAAAGAATCCGAAACGTCTGCAAAATTTAACAATATATCAAGAATAAGCCCGATAAAACCATTCATAAGCAATTTTATTCAGTAACGCGCGTAATATTCAAATATGTAAGTATTCAATTTTTTTAAACTGATTTTTATGTAGTGAAACTTGATAAATATGTCGCTTTATAGCCGACGGTCACTTGTTTTCTAGCAATACGTTTTTAATACTTATTTTTAGTCTTAGTTATCAACACGTCGCACTTTCTGTCAAGGAAGACATATCGTACCTTCGGTCATTTCATTTCCGAACACGACCGCTTTACATCCAGCTATTTTCAGGCAGTGGACCAGCTGTGCCCCCCTCAAGCTGTTATTTACCAATGCTGTGATCACCCTCATCTTTGCCAATCCCAACCATATGAACATGTATTCCGGCTGTGTCTCCATGAAGAGCGCTATTACTTCACCGCTCTTGAAGCCTTGCCGTTTGAAGTACCAAGCTATGCGGTTGCTGAATTCTTCACCCTGAAAACCGTAAGAAATTGTAAATTATAATAAATTGGCAGTTTTCTCGCTTTTCTTGCGTTACTTATAGTCTACGGTCATAGAATTTTCATTATCAGAAATACTAATCATTTCTGAAAATCATCCTCTACAAAAAGGTTAATATTTTTAATATTTTTTATAGATTCATCAATGTTATACTATAATAGAGAGACTTAAAAAAGTCCAAACATTTTGTAAAAGAACAGCATCAACCTAGAGGTCGAAGACAGAGCCGTCGCACCATAGAAGTTGAGTCGAATAAAACCTTGAATACGTTTTAAGTACGTTAATAATAGAACCTTTATATGACAACACTGTGCTCACCGTCGAGTTCAATACTAATTTTGTCGCTTTGCAAATAAATCATTTGGATCATACAGGAAGAACCCTGTATGATCCAAAAGATTTATTCAAAAGATTTGCTCAGAAATTTATACCAATAGGCTGACTATGAAGTTGAATCGATCGTCTATCTCAATGTATTATAATACAATTAAAATAGGGATGATGACTAATTTTTGTTTGTTTGTCCGTCAGGTAGAGTGTTAAAAAATATTAAACACGTATTTTTTTATTTTTTTCGTAATCATAAAATTACGGCGTTACATGGAATTGAAATTTAGCATGACGTCACGTTAGGGTACGTTTTCTACTCAACTGTGACGTAGCGAGACCCCACTCCTCAACTTTAATGCCTGTTATCTAAGCTATTTCTTATTAAATTGAAGTAAAAAAAAAGTATCTAATATTTTTCTATTATCTGACTGACGGACTAAATAGAATTGCATTTTTTTTACCCAGTCATCATCCCTATTACTATCATTATGTAGGTACTTGTACTTAGTGATATGGATAAACACATTCTTATAATAGAATATCTATGATTTCGTTTACTTGTAACTGTTATCTAATCATGTATAAATATTATATGTATGTATTTTGAACTCAAAGGTATGAATTTTATATTGTTTACGCAATGAATTTTGATCTATTTGTATTTGATAATATGATGTAACAATCATATTATATAATATCGGTTATAATAATACAAATTATTTATTAAATAAATATTCTTAAAATAGCCGCATATAATTTAACTTATCAATAATTTAATTTATACTGATATTATGAATAGGTAACGTTACTCTGTTTGTTTGTTTGTCCCTACAAAAACCCTGGCAATCTTCGAAAATACTGATCAGATCATGAAAATTCTTTCATCTACGGGAAACATTTGGTTTCCCCTAATATAAGGGTAATATAAGCTATAATTTACGCTGGCGAAATCGCCTTAATAGCTAGTTATTCATAAAAAATGGTAAGAGTTGTCTAATAAAATTGAAAGGACTTGATTGATTGATAGGTTTCCGATATGAATCAAATGAAACTTTTAAATTGTTTGGACGTTTTAATTAAAAAATTTGTCAAAATATATCATGCCCAATTGCATTACAATATGCCAATCTATAATATTTTTTTTTTTTCTTAAGAAACCTATAATAATCTTATTAAGAAACTTTTTAAGTAAATGAAAAGACAAAGGCACTAAATAATTGCATTAAATGCGCACGTTTTTAAAACAGTTTCAGTTTTGACAAATTCTCAAAATTAAAATAGTACAATAGACAGGACATCAGGTTACATATGATAAATTGCCTTCAGCGGTTGACATTTTTCTGCTATGTAAAGTTTCACTGGTCCATAGTCGTAATTACAGTATTCTAATTATAACAAACCTCACGGAAGGTCAACGCTCTGTCTTCCATAACGAAGGCCTTCTTATCCGGTGACATCTTAGCGACTTCTGCCCACCTGGTCACCACGGTCGTACCATTTTTCTCCCATTTCCAAATTTGGAACATTGTCCGAAAAAGGACCCACACACCTCTGTATAACAAGAAAAAAATTTCAAATTACTTTAGAGTGTAGCGAGCTTTAAATTAGATTTAAATTATGCAATCATAAGTAACGTCAATTTAACCTACATATTCTAAGATCACATAAAAAAAACATGTGTTAAAAACGAACTTGGTCTCTGCGATCACAAACTTTAATGGGAAGCTTTAGAAATATTCTGCTGCGAAAATATGGATACCATTTCACATCATTTGCGAAAGTTAAATCCACATTTTGTAAAAAAAAATATGGTTTTATATTTTAAGACGATTCAAAACCAATAAAAGGTTTTACAAAACAATGTGTACCGCGGTTCACGATATAGTTCATCAAACTGTTCATTTTAATTTAATTATTACTAAATTTACCTATAAAAAATATTCATATTTAACAATTGATTTGGAATATTAAATTCAAAATTTTAAATACAAACTATTATGTATGAATAATTCTAATTATTATTAAAATAAAATATCGTCATGAACTTTTTCGTCACCTTCAACTTAAAATGTACCAGGGTACCATAATTAATTGTAAGTATAGCTATGATTCGGTAAGCAAACACGTCAGGGGCTCTATTTTTGAATCATTCGTCTCGCGTCGAGCGCTCGTTTTCAACTATCACTCGCATACAACGTTCGCTAAGCGACGAGTGGTTCATACCATTCGTTGCAGTCGAGCGATTTAGAAATGGCGAATTTGTTAAGTCGAACGAAAATCAGTAGAAAACGAGCGCTCGACGCGTGACGAATGATTCAAAAATAGAGCCCCTGATCTGTTGCATAACGGGTGACGCGCGAACAATCATTCAATCATTGACTACCTATTGCTAAGCGGTCGACACCTCTCCTCATAGCCGGTGCCGCCCTGGTAATTGAGATCATCCGGCCCGATGTCTCTGTCAAAAAGGGGAAGGAAAAATACTAACTGCGTCGTGTGTGACGTCATAACTATACATAGTAGGTAACAGACAGAGAGGGTACTACGACAATTTTTTAAAGATTCCATCAAACCGAAAAATAATCTCTTCTTACTTTGTCTCTTTTTAAATTGTTCTAATTAGTTTTTAAAGAGGTTACTATTTGTGTGAGAGAACAAATAAAGTTTATTATTATTATTTGTTTAAGTTTGATGTGATGACAAGAAATCCCAAGTAAACGTGAAGACAGTTGACATTGATACCAATTACTCAGATCTGCGATATCTTAAAGCTTGAAGCAATAAAAAATAATGATAATTGGCAGTTGAAAATTTTGACATTCCAATGGAATCATACCGTAACCTATACAGTCTTATTATAAAACTAAAGTTAGTACTTAGTTTAAACCATTGGCTGCCTTAAGCAAATTAACAATGACAGAAACTTTGAACACTTACAAAACCAGATTTGTCTAAACGTCAAATTGAACGTTTTCGCTTATTTTTTTCGAGCAATGATTTGAACCTAGTACTAAAGTCAGTCCTCGACTTTTATTATGATGATTAGATATACTTCGTGCAAACCTAAGTACAATAAAGAAAAAAAAAACTTAGGTATAAAGTAGTTAGCAAAATAACTAAGTCTTATTATTTCACATTCACAATACTATACTAAAAAATATCTTAATGAAAAATGCTTAAAAAATATCGGGTTGCCAGGGACCAAGTGGATTTTCGAAACATTTTTCATTAAAAATAATGAAGTCTTTTATCGATATAATATGATCTTATATAATATGACTCTTTAAATTGTCATGATTCTTAAATATTTTTACTCCTCCAACACGAGCTAAATGACGGTTTTCTTGGACCGGGTATCTTGTACTCAGGCATTATTATTAAAAACTGTATAGTATTTGTAATTCGTTGACATTTAGTAAAAAGAAATTTTAAACACTACCTTTTTACTATAAAACAAGGACCAAAGTTAGTACTTCGTATAAACGAAACTTAGAATAATAAATATTATTCTAAGGTTTATACCATTGGCCGCCTAAAGCAAATTGATGATGACAGGTCTGCTCTTTCAATTCTCAAATTGAGACGAATTACCTTAGGAACGGTTTAAACCTGGTATTAAAATAAATCTTTATTTTATAATAAGATGGTATTTCAGTAAACAAAAGAGTCAAGCGCACGTTAATGTATGTAAAGTTATATTATAAATTTAAGTAATCTGTTTTCTAATGTTAATATAAAATATTGCATTATGCACTTGTTCTTCGTTTAAACTTTATTTATGTTCAATTTCACACACCGCCGTCCTTGCAATTTTCGTAAACAGAGTTCAAAATTTTTGTTTTACCTACAATTAAATAGTAAAGGTTTTTACTTCTATAAATTTGTCATCTCTGTACACACGTCTGCACGTCAGCTTATCACAATATGTCATCGTTATCATCAGTTCTTTTACGTAACCATTGCAGGGGCATAGGCCTCCATATCATATCATCGACTGCAATTGAAACCGGGACCAATGGCTTATTAGCAACATAAAATCTCGAGTAATTAACGATAAAAAATACTTGCGCACAAACAATTAACAGGCAGGAGACCTCTAACTGGTAAATTAAAATTTACTCCGCGATTTTTATGTTCCTTTGAACAATAACATAAATGGAGTCTTCTGATTTCAATATTTGTAATGATTTTATTTGAATAATGGCGAACAAAGATTTTTATCTGAATAACAGAGTTGTAAAAACTTAATAAAAGACTTGCTTGCTATTACTCAAAAGTTATAATGCTAATTGTAGTGTTATTCAGCTTCTTCCAAAATAGACGGTACTCCAATTTTATACAACTTAAGCTGAATACTGTCATGAAATCATGATAGTTATTACTCAACTTTTATTCAGAATGTTTGTGTTACTTGGGCACACAAAAAGTAGTTTTTTTTTTAAATATGGCTTATATTTTAGTGTTTTCTTTGTTTAAATGCGTAATTTCCGATTTAGGTGCCTGCTTAAGTTCCTAAACAGTTGAAGGAAATATTATATTTAATAAGTTTATTTCATTTATTTAATGCTGTTTAAAAATACGCATTATATAAATAAAATCTATCTCATGTGTAATAAATAACGCATAAAAATCCGCGACTTCATTAAAATGGTAATAATGCTTATATATTTATCGTAATACTTACTGTTATTTATATTGTCTAATAAAATAAGTATTGTTAAATAAAACATTGAGCGTATATTTTTAATTTTGCTTTAATATTCTAATTTTTTTAAATGTTTATAATAAAATTGACAAATACGATCCATATTTTCTTAAAAAATAAGAAACTTAGCGATATTTAGTTAAATTCACCAATCTCAAGCGTTGATTGACTGTTCGGTAAAGAAAAGAAGGTATTAATTGTAACTTCTTCTCAATTGTTTTCTCGGGTATCAATACAACATCTCACTCTCGATCCAAAAAAATGACATTTAGAATTTTTTACATTTTTATTATTAATCATTTTTAGGGGAACCACAATTTAAGATTTAGCCAACTACAAAACATAGTCCAAAGATTCCAAAGTACCAGGCAATCATGACTCTGTATAGAATAGGTACATTCTAGTCGCGCCACCGGACGCTGGTTATAAACCCATTGTGGATGGACCTTGACCCCTCACGATCGCTTAAGAGGTTTATAGGATAGTGTAGTACACTTATAGATTTTTAAATAGTGTCGAGTTTTTGAACTTCAACAATCATGGTTATTTTATTAAGTAGAATTCTCCACATATAGTATTTTGCTACGGAATATCTAACAAACAGTGGGATTATTGAAATATTTTATATAGTAAATAATTTATTTTGATTTGATTAATTTAATTTGAGTTGACTTATTTTATTTTTATGTTTAGAATATTTATACACAATGAAATAAATTGTTGAATGTTGCGTATGTCAGTAATTTTCATAGTATCAGAAATTTTAATCGTATCAATATTCTTTAGTAATCATTGAATTTATATGATGTTGATGTTTCTAATAACAAATTTTCAGAAGAGTTTTTGTTTTTGTTCATATCAGTTACATTATTTCCAGTTTGTCATGTATTTTCTCCGTAATGACATTGATTTGTCTCGGTATTGAGAAAAGGCACAGAAACATATCAAGAATAAAAATTTGTTTATGTGAGAAAAGGACGTTTTTAAGTTTTTAATTATAAAATTTACTTTAATACTGATTACAATTTTCTCCTAACTAATAAATGTATTACGACAGTTAATAAAGTGACAACATTCAAAACAATAATATTACCATTCTAATGAAAAATGCTTAAAACATCCACTTTGTTCCTGGTACTCTGAGAGTGGATTCGTACCGCTAAACGTGACGTGAAAGGTCGTTTTCGCAATCCGGCTGACTGCTCTAACTACTGAGATACCCAGGACTAACAGGACTGACAAATTCTTCAAGCACTTGTTATTTTTTCCATACTACACAGCGTATTTTCAATTTTCAGGTAATCCACCCAAACAGCCGAATGAAATATTTTAATAAATATTTTTAACTTTCGATAAATATGAAAATTTTATTCTAATTATTATATATGATCAATTTAGCATTACAATGCTTATACTGAAAAATATTCTTAATTTTTGGTTCAAATCCCATCTCAGGGTACCAAGGACACAGTGGACTTTTAAAGCATTTTTCATTAAGAATATTATTTACATTATGAATGCGTAGATCATATATAATAGTAATACTTTTACTAATAAGAAACTAATAATCGTGGTTTAGTTACACATAACTATGTTCACGTCCAATGTGACTTTTAGCGAAAAAGTTTTAAAAAGTTTACATTCATGTTTTAATCTAAAAATCTATGTGCTACTCTATACATGCATTGAGTTCAGCGCTCCTTTTTTATAAACATTATTTGAATACTGGTAACGCCAACATACATTTATTTTAATATTAATAATTAATTTGATTATTCGCGCCGCTTTACAATAAGTATCTCCATTTTGTATTTCTCGCTGGTTGACATTAGTACTTTTCCTGTCT